GCCAGTTGGATGACCAGGGACTAGGTCATCAAACCCCAAAATGGAACTTTTTGTAACTATGAAGACATATTTTTATACAAAGGCTTATCATAATGTGCTTTGGAACACAACATCGAAAAAGTTCCATGTATGTCGCGAACTGAAAGATGCATGTAAGACTTGTATAGGCCCCCCCTACTTCAGCTTTCAATATTCACGGCGTATTGAATCGGGCGCTGGGTGACAGCGAGCGAATGATATGAACATTATTATTAAAAAATCTCAGAAAATCCCTCAAAAAAAATAACTCATTATTACCTCCACTCACCTAACTAAAAATGGTTAAAAAAATATTTTGGGGCGCATTTCATTTTTTCATTTTTTTCAAAAATCGGAAAATTGGACCAAATTAACATGTCATTTGAACTTTGTAGCTGGTATATGAAATCGACATTTATGAATCAAAATATTTGGAGTTTGATTAAATTTCACCTTTTGTGAAATTGGAGATAAAATATTACTCCATACACGAACGTTAGAAGCAAAAATTCAAAGTGCCCATAGGGTCCACGCCACTTTCCGGTGCGCATTCTTGTAACGTGAAGCAGCGCGTGAACGAGTGTTTTCATTAAGACTAAACTTTCTCGAGTCCTCGAAATAACCAATTTTAGTCTTTTTCGAGTCACTGCGACTCAAAAAGATACACGTAGATTGTTCCAGTCCATTGGTGGATGCATTGCATCGCACATGGGGTCAAAGATGCCAGCTCTGATAGGGTAGACAGACAAGGAGATGTTGCATAGTCTGCTCCTCTCCACAAAGGCAGGTGGTGTCATCATTCTCACTGTACCCCAACTTTGCTAGATTGGATCTGCGACGTTCAACAGCACTTCTTAGTCAGTTGCAGCAAGACCACAAATGCCATGCCTCACTGACACCTCCGGGTTGATAGTAGACACTGCCTGCGGTGTGTTGGTATTGTGACGTGACAGAGGGCGCTAGTCACTTTGCGCGGTGCAAAGTTATAGATGGCGCTCTGCCCTGTAACTGAGGCAGACGTTAGGCGCGCATAACTGTATGTTAAGCAAGCGCGGCGCATAGGCTCTGCCTTGTACGTTGCGCGATAGGTCAGCGGAAGTCACTGCTTGGTCACGTGAGCGCGTGCGTGGGCGTGGTCACAGCAGCGCGAAGGCTATAAAAGGCGTGCACAGGCAGGGCCGGTCCAGTTGTCTTGATCAAGTGCTAATATTGAGGTAAGGGTCGAGAATCCTGTGCAAGGGTTAAAGTCACCTAGCCTAGTGTGACTGTACCTAAGTCCGACTGGTGCATGTGTTGTTGAGGGGCTGGGTAGGTTGAGGGGCTAATTGGTGGTGCGGTATAGTTCCTGATAGGAGCTTGCGGTCGATTGAAGGGCGGATTGCTATCTTGTGACGTGAGTTGCGTGTAGCACAGCCCAGACAATAAGCCCCGTAGACTTGCCAAAGTCCCTGATTCGGCACTGGATGCCCACAACTAATTGTGGAGTTCGCTGCTCTGGGCGAAGTCCGGTCACGTATAATCACACAGTCTCCCCCTCAATAGCGCCCTCTACTGGTGTATTGGTTGAGTGTGTTGATGAATAAACCAGCTGCTTATTAATTGTTATATATAAGTCAGGTGTCCAGGCGAAGTATATTTCAAGTCAGGTCTGTCCGGGTTACGTCATTAAGTTTCGACCAATAAGATTAGCCACCATCTCCACGAAGACCAACTTTCTTGGGGGACGGTATACTTTTGTCCCAACGGACTCGTCCCTAGCCACTCAGGGACTCTCCGGCGTGCCGTCCGACGCGCCTCGAGGAGGAGGGCGCCCTCGCCTTCGTCGGAGGGGCGCGGCGTCACAGTATCAGTCCACAGGGATACACGCTGCTTGTCTGGGCTTTTGCTTAGTGCCTCCACATGCATGAAACTGCATGAAACTGTGCCTGGATTTCAGCCTCTTCCTTGTTGGTTCGTAATTGAAAAGAGGGTGGTGAGGGTATTTTCCTGCTTCAGTTTTTCCTTCTGAGATGCAACAGCCCTACGGATGCTAGGGGGTGCAATCCCACTCAGTGGGTAAAGGTCCTCAATCTTTGTGGGTTATTTGGTAGCCAGTAATAACCCGACATGCAGAATTCAAAACAGGGTCGATCTTGGTGGCATGAGCCGATCTTCTCCAGACAGGTGATACGTACTCTTCAGCAGAGTAGCATAAAGCCAGTGCTGTTGTACGTACTGTCTTAGCATCAGCACCCCACTTTGTATTGGTCAGCTTCTTGAGGATACCATTCCTTGATCCCACTTTCACCTTAGTTTTAGTGATGTCATCCTTGAATGTTAGGGATCTGTCTAGTGTTACCCCTAGGTAGACTGGCTTGGTGATGTGTTGCAACCGTTGTCCATACCGGCTAATCTGTAGTTGGCGGTTGGCTTCCCTGTTTTTAAGATGAAAGGCGATAATTTGTGTTTTGTCTGGGTGTGGCTCTAAGATGATTGGTGGCATAATACGGAATGAGGAGGTCCAGGGCATTGGTAAGGGAATCCTCTACCTCTTCGAAAGTATCCCTTTGAGATGCAATGCACAAGACATCAGCATAGAGGAAGCGTCTAGTGACTGGTTGGGTGGGTTGGTCATTTGTGTAGATATTATACAACAGGGGGGCGAGCACACTCCCTTGTGGAAGTCCGTTCTTTTGTGTTGTCCACCTACTCCGTCTGCCACAGATGTCTACAAAGAATCTGCAGTTTGACAGATCAGCTCAGTCAGTCTGACATCGGAGGTCATCTCTCTTCTTGATGAGGATTCAGTGGTTAACTGTGTCATATACTGCAGAAAGATCAACAAAAGCAGCACCTGTGATAGTCTAGTTCTCAAAACCGTCCTCAATGAACTGTGTAAGATTCAGGAGTTGTCCTGTGCATGATTTTCCAGGTCTGAAGCCTGCCTGCTCCGGGATAAGATGGTCATCCACAAACGATGATATGCGGTTCAGACGTAGGCGTTCAAACAGCGTGTACATGTGGCAGAGTAAGGAAATTTGCCTATAGCTCTTAGGGATTGCGGGGTCTTTGCCAGGTTTCAGTAGAGCGATGACTCTTGCTTTCCTCCAAGTCTTTGGGATCTTGTTGGAGCTAACAAGTGTTTGATCTGTTCCACAAGGACATCGTCGAGACCTGCAGCCTTGTTGTTTTTCATAGCCTTCATTGCAGATTCCAAATCACTGATTGTAAACGCTCTTGTGAAACCTGTGGAGTCTTGTGAGGATGCATTAGCAGCTATAAGAAGCTTAGCTCTCTGTGGACGGTGGTTCGGGTTACCTCGACTATTCAGGAGGTGTTGGTAGGCAATTTTAGTTGGCTGGATAGTGTCCTGAGTCCTTGCTGGGTGGGTCATACAGCTGTTCTTTTTAAGACCAGTTAAATGATAAACAACATGAATAGCACAACCGTGAAAGAAAAAAAAACCCAGATGTACCACACAATATGTGAGGTGCGAGCGGTACTTACAGGGCATTTACCAGTCTACTTAGTCTTTCTGGACTGTAGTTTCCTTCATTCCAACACGTAAATAGAGGCAATGTAAACGGCAACCATTGAAAACATGACTGCCCTGTCCCCGCGCCCGGAACGCTGCGCCGCGCGCGCCGGTACCCGTGGCAGGCCGGCCGGGGGCGGCGGTCCGGGTTAGACTGCCTTGAGGCATGGAGCGGCTTTTAGTGACTGATTTCATTCTTTCAGTATTGCGGTATAAACCGCCTGCAGTTTATTATAAACCACAAAGATATTTTCCACGTGAAAATTAATAAATATACCGCAGCTTACATTCCGAAATTCATGGTATATAAAAATTATATATTTATTGAAGAGATAAACATAATCACCGCGG